CAAAGTAAGGCTTTGGAGAAGTAATTGCAGGGAGCGGATCCAACCAATGGACCCATCCACATTTACATGGATAAATGAGAGGCAGTGAAAAAGTGTAGAGGGAGGACCTGATTGGAGGAAATGGAGCCATATTTTTGAAGGGTATATTTTGTCTCCAGTCTCTTTGGCTCTCTATCTCCTTTTCCTGTCTGCCAGGAGGCATGCAGCTTTTTTTTTTAAGTCATGTTCCCTGCCATGTTCTGCCTTGCTATAGCCCAGAAACAGCAAGCCAGATGATCATGACTGAAACATGACAGAAAAGAAACTCCAGACTCTTCCTGTCACAGCAATGAAAACTGCCTAATTATCTGTCTCTTTCTTTCTTCCTTTCTTTCTTCCTTTCTTTCTTTCTTTCTTTCTTTCTTTCTCTCTTTCTTTCTTTCTTTTTCTTCTTTCTTTTCTCCTCCCTCCCTCCCTCCCTCCTTCCCTCCCTTCTTCCTTCTACCTACCTACCTACCTACCTACCTACCTACCTATCCACTTGTCTTTCTTTTCTAGTGTTGCTGGGTTAGGGATGGAGAACACAACAGTACAAGCATCACGAGGCTTTCCTTTCTCAGTGTTCACTGTCATTGCTCAGATTCTAAAAAAAAGTATGCTACCAATAGAAGAACAATATTCTTTTCCACTCCCTTAAACTTTACTAAGGTTACCAAAAATCTTAACATATTTTCTTTCTCAGAAATATCAAAACATCACCACAGACAGGCAGACAGAGACATTCTTTGTGTGCCTGTGTGTTTTTTAAAATTCCATTTAAAATAGTCATCAGATTAAATAGAAACAGGCAAAGTGCATTGGCAGAACTATTTCCTACAAAGCTGTGTCAATAGTGATTTTTTTTAAACAAATGTCTCTGAAAGATGGGTCTAATATGGTCCCCGAGTGAAGCTGGCCACCACTGTCCCTCCCGTGGGTGTTTGTGGGCGTGGGGAGAGACTCAGGACCAGTCTTTCTTCCCTCAGTAGCAGATAGCCTGGAATCAGGCAAGGTGCTCGCACACGTTCAGCCAACGTCAGAGCACGCAAAAAGTTTAAGGATGTACCCTAATGTCACAAATGGCAGTTTTCCCTAGACTGCAAACCTTAGCATCCATCTAAAGCCCTGTCAGAGGCCTGGCTATCCTGATCTGTCACAGATCCGGGCATCGAAGTGTGAGTCAGGTCCATCTGAGCTAGCAGCATGAAAAAGCGCAGGGCCAGCCTGTGGACATTCCACTAGCTCACCCTCCCTCCTCTCTCTCTCTTCGTCCTCCACTCTCCTTTCCTCCCTCTGTTGTCTGTCTGTCTGCCCCTTCTGCATGCTGTGGGATATTTGTACCCTGTGTGAAGATAAATTGTGATTGGTTTAATAAAGAGATAAATGACAGGAGGTGTAGGTGGGACTTCTGGGCAGAGAGAGGAAGTAGAAGAGGAATCAAGGTATACAAAACGCCATGAAGATGCAGAACGAGTTGGACTCACACAATGGGAGAGAGGTAATGCCACGTAGTAGAATGTAGACTAATAAAAATATGGGTTGATTTGAGTTATAAGAGCTAGTGAGACAAGTCTAAGCTACGGCCAAGCTCTCATAATTGATAGTAAGTCTACGTGTTGTTATTTGTGTTCTGGTGGACCCAAGTAAAATCTGATTACACCTGTCTGCTTCTCCGTTTCTCTCTGTGTTCTCTCTCCCTCTGTTTGTCTCTCAGTCTTTCCCCCGTCTGAGAGAGAGACAGAGACAGAGACAGAGATAGAGAGACAGAGACAGAGACAGAGAGATCAGCAGTCCTCAGCAGGCAGGCCAGGGGGTAAGACTCCTTCTCAAAGTGTCTAACTACAACTGTTCTGGCCTCTCCTGTTCCCACAGGTTGCTTAATCACGTGAGGCCCCCTGGCTTCCTCAGATTCTCTCCTTGCAAGAGCATATTTCAGCTGAAAATGCCTTTCAAGGAAGCCCTACTGCAGGCCCCAGCCCCACACAGAGGCAGGCAATGCATGGCGCATGCCAAGGACATCAGCTTAGACGTTTCCAGATCTCTGCAGCATTTCTTTCTTTTTGAAATCAATTTGATTGAGAAACAGGCAGGCGATTAGCCAGACTCCTGGGTGTGTATACAAGGCCATTTCTAATTAAAGGAACCAGGAACCGCAGAGTCCATAGATGCCTTCAGATTCTAATCAGACTAACTGTGGATGGCGGGGCCTGGTTGGAGGAAGGAGGTCTGCATGTGGTGTGGAACTTTTTGTTACTACTCCACTCCGCTTCCTGTCCCCCACAGTGTGAACTTCTCTGTTCCTCCACACACTCCCACCACGATGGACCAAAACCTGTGAGACTGTGAAATAGATATACTTTTCTTCTAAATGAAAAAAAAAGTACGTTTTTCTTCTCTGTGTGTGTGTGGAATGTATGTGTGTATACATACTTACATGTATGAGTGTACATATTCACATGTGTGAGTATGTGCACACATACGGTATGGTGTTGGTAGTGTGTATATGTGTATATATATGTATGTGCATATGTATATGTGTGTGTTTATGTATATGTGTGTATGTGTGTGTGTTTATGTGTGTGTGTGTATATGTGTGTGTGTGTGTGTAGAGACCAGAAGATAACCTCAAGTGTTTGTTCTCACCCTTCACCTTGTCTGAGACAAAGTCTCTCTACTTTTCTCGTTAGCCCCGTGTATACCAGGCCAGCCAGCCCGTGAACCTCAGATGACGTTCTCATCTCCCCGTCTACACAGCTGGACAAGTGCCAGGATTGCAGATACTTGCTACCATGTCCAGCTTTACATAGTTCTAAGGATTTGAACTCAGGTCCCCACACTTGTGTGTAAACACTTTACCCACTGAGCCATCTCTCAAGCCCTTACGTGAGGGATTTCATCACAACAAAGCAACAGTAACTAACATAGTGCCACAGACAGCTCAAACCGATGAAACCTTGGCTTTCAGGTCCAGGTCATGACATTGCTAACTGTTTAGGAGAGTGGCTTAAATTAGATGGAAGGGTACAAATGACACACTCCTACCATCTTGTGTCATTTGCAGATCACCAGGTCATGCTCCCACTGTCCCATCCAAGGCATTCCTCCTGGATGGCAGGTACCTCGCCCTCCATGTTGTCCTTTCGGGTGCTTTTAGAGAGCCTGGCAATGCACCAGTGTCCCAAGCTATGAACCTCGGTGCTGGCTTTTCCCTCACATCCACCACGGCTTTCTTCTGGTCAGTTCTCGCTGGTTCCTCCTCTTCGTGCATCTATCCAGGTGTTCCTGAGCCAGAATCAGCCCTGCACCTCCTGTCCACATGGTCCCCTTCTCTCTACATTGTCAGCCTGAGGCTCCTCCCCTCCTCCAGCATTCAACCCCCTGGGTAGGTCTTGGCTCCTCTTCTGGCCCCAGCTTTGGCATGCATGGCTCCTTCAGTCCACAAGCTCTTTACCCACCATCTGGCCTCCTTCCTCATCTTTCACCGACCTCACCTTGACCATTCTTTAATACTGCAAAATAGCAGCTCTCTTGAGAAGTACCCACCCAATGCATTGGGTTTGTCACTCTCTAGGTCCCTCAATGCTGTGCTTAAATCTGTTAGAATATCTGAGGTAAAGAAAAAAAATAAAACAAAACAACAACAAAAACCTCCAAAATAAAACCTTCCAACTTTGCTTCAAAAAACAAAGCAAAAACAAAGTAAATAAATAAATCAACAAATAAGCCCTGGCTCCTGAGCTGTTTGTTTTGGCCTTCCTAGCTGAGATGGTGGCCAGCACCTGAGCAGAAGTTCCACAAAGGCGGGGCTTCTACTCACTCCCAATCCCCAACATCTCCCAGATCCCTCAGAGGGCTGGTGCACCAACCCACCCCTGGGCGTTGATTGGGTAGTGAGCAGATTATGGTCTCACACGCTCGTGGTTTTAGACCATCAAGGACACTAAGGAAATAGTGTAGGACTATCTTCTTCCCCTAGTGCTCCGGGAAATGGGGCAGGGAACTCCTGTTTCTCATGGTTTCCTAGGTTGACTCTTGGTCTGGGCTTCATTCCGACTCCCTAAAAAGCTGGGAGACTAGATTTTTCTCCCTGCTGGGCAGTGAGCCAAGTAGTTGCGTTCAGCTCTTCTCTAAGGCAGGGATCCCAAGTGGTACACCATTTACTTGACCACCCAGGCTTGAAACAGGACAGCTACAAGAGAGGTCCCTGGTACTCTGACCCTGGACAGAAAAGAAGGCCCTTTCTTGTCTCCTCGTATGGGTGGCACCTGCCCTTGTCACTCTTGTTGTCCTGGACATTCCTGAAGCATTTGACAGATAGGAAAACTGAACCTCTGATATTGGGGGCTCTGCCCAAGGTCAAATGAGCAGCTAGAACCAAATCTGGAAGCAACTCTGGCAAGAATCTATTGGGGATGCACCGTGTTGGGCAAAGATGTGTGTGATAAAGACATCACAGCCCCAGCCTGCCAAGTAAGATCACCTCCCCTGCAAGGCCAAGCTGAGACAGATGGACCCAGGGGTTGAGACCATCCTGAGCTTCCTCTCTGAACGCCTCGTGCATCTAAGCGCATAGACATATAGCTTCCCGTAGAGCGCTACAGAAGACACAAACAACACAACTCTCTGCAGTTGAATTGAGACACGGTCCCAAGTCACAGTTCTCCAAAGACATGCATTACTGGTAACTGTGAGCTCCAGAGCTGCTCTAGAATGCAAGATTGTGGAGGTCAAGAAATCGTACTTGGCACATGGCAGGGTGGCTAGTAACTGTATATTAAGAAACAGGTAGTCTGCTTGGGTTCCAGAGATGGGTTCAAGGGTCAAGGGTGCTCAGCTAGGGGAAGGCTTCCTGGCTGGATCGGGATGCTGGGTCAGGTGGGACCACCACACCCCAGCAGTATAGGGAGAAATGCTAGGACATTAAGGTCTCTGGTATCACCTCTCTGGGTTTGTCCAGCCCTTGGACCCAGGCCAGCATTCACCTGGGAGATGTGGGACTGTGTCCTCTGGCTCTCCCCATCACCTTCCGGCTTGTCCGTCAGCAGCCCCTGCACCTGGTACTCCAGCACGTAGCTGTCAATGAAGCGCTCCAGTTCCTCGATCTCTTGGGAGCGGCTGCTTCCTGCCTCGGAGGAGGCTGACGCCGCTGAGGAGTTCTCCATTCCTCCAGCTCAGGGGCCCGGGGTGGCTGGGGGAGAAGAGAACAGACAGCCTCCGTGAGATGCTGCTGGAGGGCAGGACAAGGCCCCACTTGGGAAATTCTCTCCACTCTTAGGAGCAATTGGGTCTCCCAGTTGCCAGAAAAGTTAGTGGAATATTATTGGCTTATCTTTATCATCAAGAATATGCCAAGTTCCCACTATGGAGGGAAAGACACTGAGGCCAGCGGAGGCAGGGATTTGACATGAATCCACAGAACAGAGTGTGGGCTCGGTCCGCTACGGCAGCCTGTGGCCCCTCCACTGGGCTTTCCCAGGCTCGTGAGGCTCACGAACATGTGTCACATGAGGAAACTGGACATGGCAGTGATCCCACCTGGCTCACTGAGGCAAGGATAGGCATTGTGATTCATTTGTATCCTGCAATATCTTGGTACCAGGCAGGGGGAAGGACTGTCCCCTCTTGGACAATATTATATCCACATAATCTTCTAGGCTCCCTTCTGTTCCGGCTGCTGTTGTCCGATCCGCTCCAGGCACAACTGGTAGCACCTACCATCAGGTACCACCTGCTCAGGTTTGTTCAGACAGGAGACAGCTGCAGGGCCTGTCTGGCCCCTGATCCCTGTGACCTGGAAGTTAAGGATCTATCTAACACCTCACAGGGACACCCTGGACAGGAAGGAAGCCCTGCCTTTTCGTCTCAGAGGACAATTCCAAGGCAGCAGCTTTGTGACCTTCAGTGGGCCTGAGCAGACTGAGCCCCAGTTGTCTATAGCTAGCATCAGACCTCCAGAACCCCTCTCTTGCATCTCCTCCTGTTCCCTCTCCTCGGGCACACTGTTTACAGAGATGCCATCTGCCGGTCTTCTACCGAAGTCACTCCTGGAAAGCTGACCCTCACTCAAAGTGACAGGACCCCGAGCAGGTGCCAGGCAAGTCCTTCTCCCTGATCTCAGGTGGCAATCTCCTATGTCCATCAACCACTTCTCCTTTGTGTTTAAAATAAACACAAACACTCTTTCAAGCATGTCCTCAGTAGCTTTAAGTATGCTCACAATGCTACGTAACTATGACTACGTCCCATCTCCATTTCCGTAACTTCTCATTATCCCAAACAGAACCCCTTGGCTCACTCCGCATCAGCCCTTCACTGCCCTGGCCCAGGCCCTGGTAACCCTACCTTCCTTCTGACTCTATGACTTGCTGATTCTGGGGACTAGGTTTAAGTGGGGTCATGTCATAATTTTGTGATTAGTTTATATCACAGTGCATTCAAGGTCCATCCATGCTGTCACACAGCAGAACCGCATGCACTTTTATGGCTGCTGATGAGATGTTGTATTACAATAGCATGTCACTGGCCATCCGCTCACCCGTTCACTGGCATGCAGGCTGTGCTCGCATCTGGCTGTGGAGAATCCGCTATGAACATGGGTGTGGGAATATCTGTTTGCTATGCTGTGTTCAATTCTTTGGGGGCACGCACCTATAGGTCCCCCACATCTATAAGTCAATAAGGGGTGCTGCCTCCACCACACATGCTTCTTTCAATGCTTTCCCTTCTAAGTCACAGTGAGGGGAGATGGGAAAACCTCACGCAGCTGGCTGAGCTGGGAGCCGCAGAGGAGGCTTCTGGCCTTCACAGTGAGAGCGAACACAGAGGTTGGGACCAAGGCCAGCAAGGAAAGGAGAGACAAGGGTGTGCACCTGACTCAGTCACTCAAGTGGGATGCCCATCCCAGGAGCTGGCCTCTGCAGTGATTCCCTGGGACCTTGCCCTGCCCCTCCCTATTCCTTGCCAGGTGATGAATGAGGAGGACCAAAAGGCCAGGAGGAAAAGCGCTGAAGCTGCATTTTGTTGTAAAGGGCACCAAAGCGGAGGGTGGTACCCTGAGGCTGCAGACATGCACGACCAGGGCATGGGGCACATCTATGTCTGTCTGGTTGTGTTCTGAGACCTCCTTCCAGCTAGGCCACGCTCATGCTGCGCTACAGCCCCTCAGTGCCTGCCTGCTTATTTTAAGATCAGAAAGTAAAACACCCGTTCTCTGATGGAAAGACACCCTCCCTATACTGTTGTCCTCATCCCCAGACTCTCACAACCCAGCCCTTTATTGTTTGGCCCACAGTTGTTTGCTGCTTCCACAGAAAGCACACAAAGCGCAGGGGTGCCTGCTGAGGTACCTATCTCTCCTCCTCCTCCTGGTCTTACCTGGCTCTGAGCCCAGAAGCTCACAGCAGTCTCTCTCAGGCTATCAGGGTCTAGAGGAAAAGGGGGCCTAGAAACAATAAGATAGTCTCCACCCTTCATTATCCTCCTACCCACCACCTGCTCAGTGACAAATGGCATTAGGTGCTGTAAATTTAGCCAATCCTTTTAAGAGCAGACAGGCATTAGAGGCATTCCCCCTCCCTTCCCCGTTCAAGGATGAGCTGGGTGACCTGCAAGCCAGGCTAGATGCTGGGAAACTTGTCATTCCAGCCCCCGGGAATCCATCATTTTAGCCCCCTAACTTCCTCAACCTCATTCCCTAACCCACCCAGCACAGCTGCTGAACCTCACACAGGAAGCTGGGAAGTCTCAAAGTCTGCTTTCCTGGCTCAGTTTTTGGCTTTGGGCAACAACAAAGGACTCAACCACCTTGGAACACAGGGAAGCTGCAAGGGACCCTAGAAGTGAATAGGGGGATTGTTTGATGCTCCCAGGCTCAGAAGTCAGAGCTCTCCACTCTGCCTGATCCCAGCAGGATATCGACTCTGTATGAGGGCAACATCTGAGCTTTAAGGGCAGAGGACCCAACATGGGCTTGCTGTTTTATTTTTGCTAATGTCAATCATCACATCTACCCAAGACTTCATCCCATTTTCCCCCACATCATTTCCTATGAAGCCTGGTACCACATAGCACCATACCCCTGGGTTCCCTGTCATATGTGTGCTGGCTGCTGTCCATTACATGCTAGTTCCTAGATCCCCCTACCCACAGGGCTAGCTAGAACAGCTTCACCCAGAACACACAGTTGGGACAACTTTTCCTTTATCACTTGCCAGGTAGACCTGGGCCAGGGTTATATATAGAGAGAGCCTGTGGGAAGGGAAAGGCTGGGCTGTCTGAGAGGGAAGATGCCCATAGCTGTCCAGAAGAAGCCATGGGAACCTTTTCCCTGCCAGGCCCCCATCTCATCTGGCCTGTGCTCCAACCCCTCACAGATGACTCTGCAGAAAATATCAGTTCCCTGGCAATCTATTCTTCATTCCTATTGTCTGGTTGCTACAGTCGGTGTTGGCTTGATGACTTGATATAGTCGTGTGTGCCAGAGGAACACAGGCTGGTTCAGGGGAGGCCTGTGTGAATAGAAACTTCAGGTTCCCAACCCCTGGGAAGTGGCAAAGTTCAGAAACATGCAGCAGTGGGGGTGTGAGCTGGAAATCAGCAACACTCGCTGCTGCAGGAGGTAGGACGTCCATCACCCTCTGAGTGGGGATGCAATCCCCTACTTCACAACTCTACTTTAACCCTTTCTCGCTCTAACACCGGATAGGGCGTTATTCTGAATGCTGGTCTGTGAGAACACAAATGTCCCGAACCATAACCACGGCATCAGAGGACGTGTGAATTAAAGCTGAACGGACCACACCCGCATTTGCATGCACCGTGCAGTCAAAGAAGCACTTTCATTTCAATTGTCCATGATGAAGCATTTCTTTTGGGGGGAGGGGCAGGACCAAAAGTGATGATGCCCAGCAGTCAGGTGTGGTTAACTCCCAAAATTCAGAGTCCCCAATATCTTGTTAATACAGATTCTGACTGGGTAGGCTGGAGCTGGACCCCAAATGCTGGGATTATTTTCCCTTGGAACTGTCTGACTGCATACCCCAGGCTGATCTTAAACCCCTGATCCTCTTGCCTCTGCCTCCCAAATGTTGGGATTATGGGCATGCACCAACAAGCCTTGTGAGAGTCTACATTTCTTGCCAGCTCTCAGGACTAGCCAAGATCAGAGAATCCCTCCCATCACAACTACTCTTACTCAGATACCCACTCAGCGGTGGCATGGCAGGACAGTGGGAGGCTCCACCCTGACCTTGTGGCTACATAGGCAGCACCCTGCAAGATGTTGAGCTCCCCTCTTGATAGTCCACGCTGGACTCAGGGAGAGCTGGCACACAGTAGGACCTAATAAGCTGAGGCGCCTATCTCTGAAGAGGTAGGGGACGACCCTGGGCACTGTCTCCGCACCATTGTTTCTAAAATCCAGGTTGCACAGCTTCAGTGGCACTCTGAGAATCCCGCCTAATCCTATGCTGATGAAGGTATCGAAACGTGCAGGCAAAAGAGCTTGCTGGAGGATGCGCAGATACCTCTAGACACAGACAGTACAGGCACAGGCCACTCAACAATTCACCCAGTGGCGTCAGTTCCTCCACTCCTGGTGACCGTCAGCCTTTGGGATCCCCAAGTTACCATCATTAACACTGAGTGGGAATGATAGGCTGGGGGTACTCAGTGGGAAACTACCCTGCGTTACTCCGTGAGCCAAGTCTGGACAGGGTCCCTTTGGCTTACTGCTCCATTCTGAGAGCAGGGTGACTTGGAGCAGGGCTGATTCCTGTGCAAAGGCAGAGCATAGGCAACAGGAGGCAGGAGCTGTGGCTTCTGAGGAGAGCTGGCCTGTGCAGCTGCCAGCGATCCTGGAATGCCTAGGTAGAGAGGACCCAGCAGAGATACTGAGTGATCTGTCGTCACGTCGACCTTGCCATCCAGGCCTCCGAGTGAGAAGCAGCAGAGCAGCAACTGGGCCCAGGACAACCAGGGAAGGGATGGGAGAAGGGGAAGGGCACACAGGTGGGTTCTGTAGGTGCAACTTCCGCATTACTTCTGGGCATCCTTACTGTACAGGTTCACCTTCAAGGTCTCAAGGACCACAGGGGCCTCCACTTGGACCTGACACTGACCACCTCCCTTGGCTCCAAGCACACCCTGCCTCCGACACCTTCTTATCCTCCCCATCTCCTGTTACTCAAC